AGTGGATGAGAGCACAAGGCGAGGACGCAGATGGACGAGGTTTTCCGCCAGAGTTTTGGAGTGAGCTGGCAATGAGCTTGGTGGACAAGAGGAGCCTGCCAGATCGACGGATGGCTGGCATGGACGCAAATGAATACCACGGACCATGAGAAGGGGTGTTAGATGGGCGAACAGATACACTCGCATTGTTGCATGTTGGATGGATAGCCTAGAGTTGCGAACAGTGTCGAAGAGCATACGAAACAGAAGGACGAGTAACAGCATGTGCGTGGCTCTCTGGCCTGCTAATAGCGAATGAGGTTTTGAACACACTTGTGAACATCCTGCTTGTCGTCGCTTATTACTTGTCTCGGGCTTTCTGCGTTCTAGTGTTGCCAGCGGATGACATCGCAGTATTGATCCAGGTGAGTCCGATCTCGATCTGAAACCAAAGGGTTCATCCACACGCCAGTGGAAGCTTCGCGAAAGTCAGCGAGCGACTCCCAACATGCTCATGAGTCGTGGATGAGCCTTCTGCAGTTTGACTAGTAATGATGCCCAAAGCCTCTTGATGGACTATGCGCTTTTGTTGAGGCGAGTCACAGTGCGCGTGCGCGTGCGTGATGAGATAGCGACACAAGATAAGGGAACGTCATGTCGGAAAGATAGTCATGCCTTTTGACCAGTAACCAGAACGCGGGATTTGCGGCAACGCAGCTGAGCATTTCACACGTGGACAAGCGATTGCGAGGAGTGGTGAATGAAGGATGTCCCTAGGACACTCAGCAGCGCTGATGACTGTTTCGGGCCTTGTGCCTTGGCAGCGGGGCTTAGACCGCCTGCGGGCTCCCCCAGATAGTGGCCCCAGTCCCCTCGCCACCCTTCCCTTGGCCGATTAATACCCTCCACGCTCCACCCAACTACTTGCGACCTTCCTCACACACGCGCACTCTACACTTCCCGCGACACGACAACCGCCTGCCCTACCGCACCCCTTCAGCACCCGCAGAGCGCCACCAGTCGATTTCATGACCACGGACATCCAGAATCTCAAGTCCTTCGATCCGTTCGCGGAGGCTGATGATGCTGGAGGAGAAGTAAAGTCCACTCAGCAGAACTACATCCATATTCGTATTCAGCGTACGTATGCCCTTTGCCTTCTTTCTATCCGATATTCGCTTGTGTGCGACATCGGCGCGCTGTCCCTTCCCCTCTTTCTCCATGTTTCAAGAAATCGCGCAAGGCTGACGTCAACCCCCAACAGAGCGTAATGGTCGTAAGACTCTGACCACTGTCCAAGGACTGCCCAAGAAGTTCGACCAGAAGAAGATTCTCAAAGTCATCAAGAAGAAGTTTGCCTGCAATGGCACCGTCGTCGCAGACACCGAGATGGGAGAGGTGATCCAGTTGCAGGGAGACCAGCGCAAGGATGTTCAAGACTTCTTGACCGACAAGAAGGAGGGCCTGGGCCTTGATGGCAAGACCATCAAGGTCCACGGTTTCTAAACCCACAAGGACGTGGATGCGATGCGCACCGCCGCTCCTCCCGCCGAAGCCGAACGACCGCCCCAAGGTCGTGCCAACAATACGGCGGAGGAAGAGCAAGCCGGTATGTCGCACGTGTGTAGCTCACACGCGAGAGTGCTGAGATGCGGTGCGCACGAGCAGATACACCACGTTCGAGGAGGATAACGATTTTCCTATCTCCATCTCTTTGAAGGAATCGGATATGACGTTTGAGGTTTCGCAGGCTGAAGTATCAGTGCTGCACGATATTGAGTGAGAGATCAGGATGGTAGTTTCGGAGGATACATTCAATCAGAGATCTTTATCGCAATCTTTCCAAGTGACGACGCTGTCTCCAGGGTATCTAACCATTACTGTGCCATGCCATGCCATTCCTTACTCCACGTCTTCGTCTTCAACCTCCCTGATAGTCTCATCTTTCTTAGGTGCCTTGGCCTCTTGTTTCCGATATAAGCTGGCCAGCTCCTCTGCCTCAGTAGCCTCTTCGATGCTCTTATCTTCTCTGACTTTTAGGAACCTGGGAAACCTAGTGCTCAACCCCCTGTCCTCATTGACCAACCCGATCGCAGCCGTATACGTCGGGCTCAACGTCAGATCCGCAAAAGCTACCTCCCACACCTCTTGCGGCTCAAACCAAACAGCGGGCGTTCCCGCCCCACCATTGTACTCCACGTAATGCGGTTTCCCAGCTAGTACGGTTGTGGAATCAGGGTCGTCTGGATCGTACTTTGCACGGTTCGCTTTGTAGAACGCGTCCGTGAAGCCGGACATGCATTTTGTGACGGCTTCCAGTTGGCCGGTTTCTGCGTTGCGGATGGCGAGAAGAATAGGTGACCACCATGCTGCTTTTCGGCCAGAGCCATGGAATGCGGCGATGGGGATCAGGTCGAGGGTTTCGGAGGTGGTGCTGTAATCTTTCTTTACTTTGAGCCAGCTATCTAGGCGTTTATCCGGTTCGTAGGTTGAGAGGAGGGCTTTGCGGCGGCCGGACGTCTTAGGTTCGTCCTTTTCAGTGTCCGTAGCTTTCGTCTTCGTTTTTGATTTCGCCGGCTTTTTCTTCTTTGGCGTTGGTGGGAGGGAAGGCGTCTTCTCGATGGCTTCGTCGGTTTCCGCAAGGAGGTCAGGGTTGGGTAGGTTGTCTAAGATCTTGACCATTATGCCTTCGCATTTGATGTCTAGAGCGCTTTGAAAGAAGGATTGGACTGCTTCTACATCGGCAGATGTGGCATCTAGACTCTTGACCCAGGTAAAATGGTGCGGTATCTCAACGAACAAACTTTTCAATAGCGATCGCCGCTCTCTGAAAGGCCTGTTGAGCAGCTCCTCGCCGTTCAGATACATTAGGTCGAATGCAAACAGGCAAACGTCGATCGTCACCGCGCCGATAACGACATCTTTTCTCGCACGATTCGCAAGTGTCTGGAAGGTCTTGAGATCTCCACTCTCGCGATCAACAGCAACCACCTCGCCTTCGAGGATGAAACTTGAAACGCCCTCGCCACGTATCTTGGGCACCAGTGCTACCAAATCAGGATACTTGTCAGTCATGACTTCCAAATGTCGTGAGAAGATCGTGACTTTGCCCTTCTCATCGCAATGTACCTGTGCTCTTTGGCCATCGTACTTGTACTCGCAGGCGAAGTCTCGTCCTTGTAACTTCGTGAGCATCTCGCCCATGTCGCGCGTAATGCTTCCCAACATGGGCCTGAGTGGGATATGCAGCGACAGCCCACAGCGCACGAGTAGTTCGTCGCAAACACCAATCTCGAGAAGTACGGGTATAAGGTCGTTGTAGTTTGGTCTTCGAGCAAAACATGCCTTTACGATCTCCTCATTTCTGCTGTAAATTTCTGCGAGTTCCTCCTTCTTCATCTTTGTCAGGTCCTTCCGGTCGCGTACGTCGAACTCAGCACCCGAAGGTTTCGACAGCATGAAGGCCCGTGACAACGCGATGAGCATAGTGGTTTTGACAGCTCCAATCCGCAGATGTTGTACAAGCGTGCGTACGATGTATCGGCTCTCTTCAGCACCTCGCGCATCTTGTACCAGTCTCTCAACAATCCTCTGCTTATTCTCAACACTGCCATGGCCTTTGCTGTTGGCAATCTTGACCAGCGAGTCAAAGACACTCCGGATAGTCAAAGGCTTCGGTTTGCGCAGGGTGAAGCTCTGCTTCTTCTTTGCCTCGAACGCTACATCTCCAGCGTCGCCATATTTGGCGTTCAAGACTTTCAAGCCTGCATTATCCAGTCCGCAAACTTTCTTAAGCGCTTTCGAGATGGCTGAGCCTCCCAACCCAAGCTCCAGATCAATGTACGGGGGCGATATTGCGTTCGTCGCGAGCCATACCGCCGGGAGTAAGCTGCTAGGGTCGCTTTCGATGATCGTCCGAATGAGGTTGACTAGAGTGTCGACAATCTTGATGCGACTCGTCGTACTGTTGACCAAGATAAAACATCTTGTCAACAGCGCGTATGTCGCGTGCCCTCCATCGACCACCCAATGCTTTTGTAACTCTGGTATGTATTCCGAAGTGTCGAATTCGAGAGGGCTCTGGTCGAATGGTATGTTCGCTGTGATCACGTCTTCTTCGGATGCGGTCGACTGAAGAGACAGCGTGTTCTTCTTCTGGGTAGGTTCGTCCGATGTTGTGTTTCCTAGAGCCGGTTCGCGCGTTGGCAATGTTGACACCCCGATCTGCCCATCTGCATCTTGAGGTGCATCTTGAGGCGCATCCTTCGTGTTGGCCTTCTCTGGCTCTTCGTACAGATCATGCGAGCTCACCGGTTCCTGGTTTTGCGCCTGCTGTTGGTCTTCCTTGTCCCATTGCTCCTGGAGTTTGCGCGCGAGCTCCTCGTCGGTCAGCCCTGTGTTGTCTTCGTCCACAGGCGGCTCGCTCGGGCCTGCGTTCGTCGGCGCATCTTTGGCTGTTGCTTTAGCCGTCTGCTTCGCGAAAAAGTAGTCTAAACTTCGTACCGGCTTCCCGGAGCCATCATTCTTCTTCCGTCGTTTGGAAGGGCTGTTCATGACGTGAAGGCTGGTTCGAGCGACTTAGCCATTAGCAAAACGGGTGGCATAGGGGAATGTGGTACGTCATGACGCGGGCGCTTGGACCCAGCCAAACTCCATCTCACGTGCACACGCGTCGATCGACAGCCTGGAAGGCTTCTTCAAACATCCTTAGATTGATCTCTTTTGTTCCTCCACGCTCACATCGTACCACAAGGCTCTGACAAGCACACCATCCAGCGTAAAGAAAATTCTGAGATGGTCGAAATGACTATGCGCGCTAAGCACATATCAAAGACCGCCAATCGTCTACGCTAGGAACAGGACCGCACCGGTATTCAAGCTCATTCCAGGTGAAGATGGATCGGCCTCTGAACCCTGTCACACCATGACCCTGACGACGAGGTCGAGATGGATCCGAACTTATACTCTTCTCCTCTCGAACTTCCGATAACCAGCCATCCCCTCCAAGGTTCCATATCTTTCTAGTCGTAGTAGTCGAGATCAACGATCTCCGTCTCTACCACAGGCTTTTCTGGGCGCTCGACAGGCCGCATGCGCTTGTTATTCCGGCCGTAATAGCCATCGCCACGAGGCCCAGATGGAGGCCGACCTTCTGCGCCTGGTGCATCACTCCAGCTGCGTAGAAGACCCTGTGTATCATCGTCCGGGCCGCAGATTCGGTTTTCGTGCGCCGCGTCCCACAACTCGAATATGCCGGTTTCCGCATCGGTGTGTCCTTGCTGGCCTCGTATCTGAGACCCCACGGCATACTTCACTGCACGCCCGAGTTAGTGACGCTCAGAGGTGTTGAGGTTTTCCACGGTATCGATAGTGTCGAGGAATTCGAGATAGAAGAGAACGTACGAAAGAGCTTCGCTGTGTCCTTTTGAAGACCGTCCACGAGCGTACGAACCGCCACAACTGGACACAGGCTGAGTTCTGTGCGCAAAAGCTTCGTTTGGCCTTCTTGGTTACAGGTCAAGATGGCGGCGAATTTCTTGGTGTCATCGTCTTCGCAGATCACGATATCTAGCGTTGTGTTAGGCTCCTTGTTGAGTAATAATGAGGGACTCTGTTCTTGCCGTAGAACTTGAAACGTTCGCTGCCATAAAGAAGACGACAGTTTCCGAGACATATTTCTTTGAGGGTCTGGACCTTATCGAGCTGATGTCATTAGCCAGCTCGGACGCTGTAGTGAAGAAGCAGTATACTTTTTCTGTGCTCTCCAGCCATGGCTGTTCGCTAATGTTCATCGCCAACGTCTGGCGTACCAGTTCACCTTCTTCTATATCATTGTGTGAATTCATGGGGACGGGCATGATGATCACTCGGATGCTATCGCTGGGAAGATGGAGCCAGTGTTGGAAAGACCCCGATAGGTCGAGGCCGAAGACTGTCGTGAAGGGGCGTCGATCGTTCGTCCAGGTCGAAGGTCGAAAGTCAAATACTGCGTTGAGTTGTCGATAGTGAGGTGGTGAGAAGTGAGAAGAAGAAGACTAGTTGAAGGTTTATATGGCCGGCTAAGATCAGCAGCCCGGGTCCGATAGACACTGACAAACAGGTAAAGGCGCTACTCTCCGCGGCATCTCAGGGTAAGAGAGCGGCAAGAGGTCCAACGGCAAGACACCTGACCACGGTGAGTCCACGATCTCGACCTTGGGCACGCGGGGTAGACGCTTACCACGGATTCGGGTGTTCATACGGTAGATTGACGGCATCTATGGGGAACGGTGTTGAAGCGCTTTCAAAAGCGGCTTGCCAGGATAGATGGCGTTTGCAGAGGTATCAAAGACCCATCGCTAATACGACCTGATGTAACGCCGCAACAAGGTGCCGCCAATCAGCGAGAAGTCGTACAATCTCTTTGCTCATTGTTGGATTCCTCCCCTGCGTCACTCGGAGACTCGTCTGTGGTAGTATGACTAATTGATGGTACCCATTTATAGATCAAAGTAATTGTAAGGCAAACGACCTGATCATAGTTCCATGCTTGAAATAATTGGCTTCAGGGCCAGAAGTTGATCCTATTCCCATACAGTAGCATGAAGCTTGCCCGTGAGCCCATACTCCTTCAACAAGCCCTTTGAATTCACCTCTTTAAAGCAAACTCATCTTCCTCAAGTACTTCGAAATTATCCACGGTCCCCATCTGTGCCCCCTCGAAGAACCATCCGTTGACTACACCCGCTCTTCTTGCTGCCTTACTGTTAGTTTCACCGATATCTTTCGTTGTTAATTCACCCGATATCGTACAGGTTGAACACGACACCAATACTCCTAGCAGAGCTGACAATTTCTCGACCGCATCATTGACGTCCTGTCCACGACATGTTCTCAAGATCGTCCCCTTCTCGAGAACGCCGCCTATTCGGCGTTCATAGCGTACAAGACGAGCTTCCGCAGACGTATGATCGAAGTGTACCCCGAGATATAGGTAGCGATGGAATTTGTGGAGCCGTTGGTCTTTACGTCCAGGGACGACATTCGTAAGAACAGAGTAATGGGCATCGCCCCAGAGGTAGTGGCCACGTTCTTTTATCTGCTCGTACAGCGGCATGACTGCGCTGGGACAAAGCTGAGAACCCGGCGTCGGCATGAGGGAAGAAGAGGTACTCTGCCCGGAACTTGTGTTAGGCTGAACTGGCTGTGAAAGGCTTGATGGTTGCGTGGTTGCAGGCTGAGCGAATGTACCCCTGGCGTCGTTGCTAGGGCTAGTGTTGGTAGGATTATCATTATCTGGATCTTATCAGCGACAGTCAGTAACCTTCACTACGCAGACCCCTAATTTGAAGATTATATGTCTGCGGTTCCTGGATAGAGCGCACACTCGGTTTCGGAACTTCTCTCACGAATCCTTCGATCGTGTTTGTGGCACAAGCATTTGATCCGGAGAGCTTGCTCACCTGGATGCAGTGTCGAACTCGTGTTTTTGTTTTTGCTGAACAGGTTTTTGAGGACAAGTTTGATCGAAGGTGTGCTATTACGAGCCATCGTAGCCGTATGTATAGCTTTGTCTTTTGGATGCTAGTCCTGTAGGTATATTGGCCACATGCGTCGATGAAGGCGTACTAATTAACGATGTTGACGATACTGACGAACGGATGTACCCTGGATAGCGGTAATGACATGCGATGTTGACAGATATGTGTTCATTGTGAGAAGTCGTGCCTTCGCACGAGCTCGCGATTTCGTTCTAGATGGAAGCGACGGTGCAAACACCTGGGTAGTCTTGCAAAGTCGGATAGGCGCGTGCGAGCATTTGGCAGTAACACTCTTATGAACGCTCTGCACACAGCAGTGAACAGTAGGCGATTGAACAGCATGGCTCCTTGGTAAACACGAACTGTTATCTTCAGGGCAGTGTGTGAATTATCAGGAGAACACCGCACCTGTTGGCGAAGCAAGACACTGGGCTTGTTCAAAACATCCATGGGTACATGTCGATTTGCGTTGCATGCCTGTCAGGCTCCATGTAGATGTGACATGCTATTTGCTGCAAGGTCAATCGAATGGAGCTCTGATGGGCATTTACGAGGAGCAAAGATTCGAAGAGATAGATGTTGCAATGCGAGGTGGAAAGCCAAGAGGTGGTGCAGATGCGATTAGAAAATGAATGACGTTGCCTGCGCACAGACACAATCTCGCAGCCGGCGCAATGAGCATGCAGACTTGCTCACATACCGTCAGCCAGCAAAGTCAGGCCATGTACACTGCCTGCAATACTGTAGAGACATAACCGATTCTATATACCATCTACACGATCGTCACGCCCTATCCGCAAGACACGACGCGCCGAATCGTCGAATCGTCCCCAACCGCGTAACACCCGCGACGTGCTTTGCACGAGCAATGACGAACAGAGGCGCCCTTCGGAATGGGTCGTACCGACGCTCCCTATAAACACCCTCTACTAAAGAAGATGAATCGGACAAGAATGCGCATTGCTGCGTTCTCTGGCGCCTCAATACCCGGGGGCACTGTGTTGAGATGACGGAGGACCTTCGACTCGACCCCTCGGGACAGGACTATCTATGCGTATCGATCGATCACCAGTATCTTCAATATGAGACGGGTCTGACAAGACTCTTCGGCCCACCGGCGGTGTAGGCGCGGTCAACCTGATATGTGGCATTGGAAGGGAGACAGATCGACTGTCTCTTTGTCGAGACAGTCGTAACCCTTCAATTTGCCTAGGTGGGGCTGCCACAACGCCGCCAGGCTGCGAGTAGGGAACATTGCCATATTGTGCCGCGGATTGGGGGTTTTGCGTATAGGACTGTGTCCTGTAAGCATCTGGCGGAGCGTATGGCGCATACCTGGTCGCCGGGGGAGAACCTGGAGCCAGCTCGCTCGGCGGTGGCGATCTTATACCGAGCTCACTTCTCTGTGAGAGCAGAGAGAGGTCGCTTTGTGGCGGGGACACAAGAGCATACATATCTTGCTGCGGCGGGCCTTCGGCACGTTGGCTCCGCCTCACAGGATCTTCCGGGTAACGCATTGGAGGGCCAGGATTCGTGGTATACGGAGCTTGTCTCGAGCTGTGCGCATTACGCTGCTCTTGTTGCAGCGGTTCCAGACCATGCTGTATCTGTTGTGGAGCAGTTGTACCAAGCTGGGTCTGCCGCGCAGGGTCCATAGCGAGCCGGCTCCGCTGCGAAGGATTTCGATCAGACACTCGCTCGGGCCTCTGGTTTTGCCGTGCAAACGGCACATCATCTGGACGTTCCCGAGGGGGTCGACGACTGCCAAATGACGAAGGCGCGGGCCGCTGCGCTGTCGACTCTGTCCGATAGCTCATCTCGTATGGAGCTTGAAGAGGGACCGTGTTCCTCAGGTCCAACTCCCACGGCTTGATCTTTTCCCAATTTATCTTGTTGCCCTCCAAAAGCCGGTGCTTGATCACTTGGAACTTCTCATATTCCGAGACGGTGGCGAAGAACTCTCGACGGTCCCAGCCTTGTACCATCTCCCGTATGTCTGCAAGCACAGCTACCGATTTCCTCATGTTCTCTTCTAGATTTCCGCGCATGTATGGCTTGACGTTCCTTTGCTTCAAGATCTCGACATCCAGACTGTATCGATACCGAATCCTCTCCCTTAGCTCCCGTATGTTTTCGGCCGTCACGAGTCGAGTTGGGTCTGGTGTTCGCTGAGGTATTTGACGACTAGGACGCTGTTCAGTAAGAGGTAGTTGAGGGGTGTCTACTTCTTCGTTGAGTGGTGCAAGTGGCGCCCCGACCTGCGAAGTAGACGTTTTTTTCATTTGCCAAAGGCTCTTAGTCTTCTTCAAGAGGCCCATGGCTATAGGCGGCAAAGGATTGCGATTCGGTCTCCAGCGGTAAAAGCTAAACTTCTGTCACTAACAAGTAAGACACGGAAAGAGGCAAAAGATGGGTAAGTGAGCTGGTCCTTCGGGGGCGAAAGAAAGAGTGAGGCTACCAAAGCCACAAGGCTGCCCGATCGAAATACGGCTTCTCAACGCACACATACTGTTCGTGTTCCTTAGCAGCTGCATGCGCACGCCAAGAAGCTTAGCAAGAAGGCTGTTGCTGCTCAGGAATTAACGCTTACAATCTACTGAGTCCAGCCTTGGAGGCCGCTACACCACCTTCGCCTCGATCCTTGTAAGATGCTGCATGTGCAGATGGCCAATGCTTCTGTGGTGGCTGGTCACTCAGCCATTCCGACAATATGCCCGGTTAAGCGCCGTGGGAAGTCTGCCTTCCCCAGCCTCTAGCGGTACAGTTTTGCTATCGAACTGGCGGCCAATCACGCTGCATTGAGAATCACGAGCCCAGAAGCAACCACAACGGCTTTCGAAACGCCAACCATTCATTCGTTCTTCGGGTTGGATACAAAAGCGTTGGACTGTTCATCGACTATCGAACAGAATAAGACACTTTCGCGGCCTGGCAACCCGGAATCATCTCTCCGATAGTGAGGTGCTCGCCTTTCGAATTCCCATACCGCTTCAACTCCAGGCTAAGAACTAACGTGAGAGCGCGCTCTCTCAGTTCAGGCTGTGAGAGCAGATCTCCACTTCCGTCGGGCAAGCTCGCAATCAACCTATATGGCTGCGAACAGAATTCTATCCAGGTTTTTGCACATAGTCTCACGAGACTTTCCAGCATCTTGGCCTGCCTATCTTCGAGTGTAGCTACCTTCCCGATAGCCTGGTGTAGAGAGTCCAGTAATTCCGAAATGGATCTTTCGTAGCCGTTCCTGAGTCGCAGATCATTTCCTGAGGGCCGAGCGGATGGTTCTATGAACGCTAAGAACAACTTGGCCGTCTCGTACCGTCTTTTCTCGGTTTCTTCTGGTATCTCGGGCCACTTGAGACTGGAAGTGTCTTGCAGCCTGTTAGTTCAAAGACGTGGGATAAGGACAATACATCACTTACTGGGTGTATGGATTTCTACCCACTCACGGTCCAGGACTTCTCCTTCCGACCCTATGATTTTGAAAGGACTGGCGAAAATCCAATCATACAGTAGGACCCAGACGGTGTTTTGGACAATTTGCTTCTTGAGTTTTCGCGTGTTTTGACGATGGATGTCGAGCAGCTGGTGCTCGCTGAAAGGCCAGTCTGAGGTACGACTACTATCCCAATCTACGTTCGCGAAGTCTTGCACTTGACCTGCGATACTTCGGAATAAATTGGCTACATCACGGTCTTTCAGGCCTCTGAAATGCTGCCGCTGGAATAACCCCTGTTTCAGCTCTTCGTTCACGGTACGAAGCTGCAACGTTTCGTGCGTATGTTTGGTGGTCAGTTTGGCTTCCTGTCGTTTGAGATCCTTCTCACGTCGTTTCTGTTCTTCTTGAAGTCTATCTTGCTCGGTTTGTAGTTGTTCGCGCAATCGCCGTGCTTCATGTTCCGTGTCAAGCTTCAGTTGAGCAACATTCGCTTGATACTCAGTCACCGTTACCTCATGTCTCTCCATCTCTTGACGCATTTGTTCGCAATGTTTTTCGTGCTCGTTCTTCATCTGCTCATTAAATCTTGCCTCCATATCTCTTATGCGGGTTTCGTACGTGTTTTTCACTTCTCGTACATGGGCATCCCAACTCCAGCGTTCCTCACTTAGTTGTTGTTTAAGACTGCTGATCTCCTGCTCGTGTCGCTTTTTCTCCTCATGTCGAGCTGTACGTGACTGTTCTTCGTACCATGCCTTGTTTCGTGCCACTTCGCTGTTCATTCTTTGTGTCTCATTACGCATCTGGCTGTCGTGTTGGTACTTCAACTTTTCCATCTCTCTTTCCCAGTCATGCTTTTCTTGATCGGATCTCACATTGCTCTCCCCCAGCATACTCTGAGCTTTCAACATCTGTTGTTTATTATTGCTGGCCTCGTTCCTCGATTTCTCCGCATCCGTGTTACTGGCTCGAAGGTCATTTCTCAATTTGTGTACTTCGGTCTTCAAGCCTTTTACCAACTCAGCGTCTGTGCGATATTGATCCAGTGAACGGTAAGCTGCGTCGAGCGAATTTGAAAGCTCATGGTACTGATGTAGAACTCTTGTGACTGCTTCTTCAACTGGTTCTTCGGCTCGTGGCAGAAGATTTGGAAACTCGTTTCCAGCTCTAGATAGAAGGTCATGAATTGTTGGATCACCGTGTACGTCAGCTGGTTGCTGCTATTTGTATGTCAGTCTCCAACATGTCGTAAAACTGTGGGTGAAATTGACATACGTATTCTCTTTGTGCGCCAAATGACATCGCGTCCTGTCGGAATGTCGTCTCTGTTGAATGGCCGTATGGGTCTACAAATGAGTCCCCACTCTGAGCGATTCTCGGGTGAGGAGGTGAAGGGCCTGTCGCAAACGCATGCATAGGTGCTGCTGGAAACTGAGCACGATCTCCATTACTGGCGTCATGTGTCGGAGGGAGGCCGGGCGATGATTGGGGAGCATGTGAAAGGTTCTGCACATATTGATGCTGTCGTACACCTTCTGGGGCTGTCGTTTGAGGCCGAGTGGATGTGCTGTGTGAAGACTGAGTTGTTGGTTCAATCTTCGAGCCGTTCTGCCTCTCGCGCCCTTGTTCGTATGCGACTTTTGCAGCTTGCTTTGCTGCAGATCCCCCGACTTTGACGCCATGTGCAAGGGCCTCCAGAAAACCTAATTTGGGTTTTGTAGGTCCTGCCATCGCCGTAGCAGGCCGTTGCTGTTGACTCGGGGAGAACTCAGATGAGGAAGATGTGGCTGTCTCTAGTTTTCGAGGCTCAGGTCTACGTTTCTGGAGGTCTTGAGCACACTCATGACCTTTCCGATCCAGGTACGTGAACACGTCGTTGCTGGATGGGGAGATTTTTGTCAGCCTTGAGCTGTTGCATGCGCCCATTGGATTCAGCTATCTTCTAAGAGAGAAGAGCCATACCCGTGGACACTCAGGACCAGTAATTGTGGCCAAGCCGCTAGGCGGGTCAAGCATGGTATTGCATGCTGTGTGTCAAGGCTGCCGCCCTCAAACTGCAGCGGCGACTTGTCGTAAGCAGCGCAGCGCCTACTCGTCTTGGCTTGCTCGGAGCTGAAAATCCGCAGAGTGACCCAATATTGCTTTTCGCGCCACACCAATACGTATGGCAAGGCTATCTCGCAGCCTTGCGCCTTCGTGCATATTTCGAATACGAACGTAGAGCTCATTGGTAAACGTTAACCAATTATTGAACTCCCCACTCTTCTTACGCTTACTTTGCCCATTTCCGGCGCGTGCATGGAATTTAGTCTCCAGGCTGCGATGCGGAATTGTGTGAATGCGCAGCGTCCTCCGAATCGACTTGCTTAGCCTAGCATGCCTGCGTAGCTTACGCACACGCTTCACTTGTGCCCCAATTCTCGGGTGCCGCAGCCCGCAAAGATTAGTGACTAAGATGTATAGTGGTCGCCATACCTAAACTATCGTGAGGCAAGATTGGTTGTTCTCGAATAGAACTCTGAGACAGGCATTTCAACATGGACGACAGCGAACCTGGGTACCACTCTGAGCATACGTCTTTCGTGTCTTCTCGCACAGACCACGAATACATCTCCAGAACAGACAATTTGGAAGGAAGAACAAATGAATATGTGCAAGAAACGCGACTAGTAATTGGTCTGGACTATGGCACTACATATACAGGTGCGCTACTTAGATCGGCGTTCCTTGTTACCAGACTGACATCAAGATCAGGTGTAGCTTATGCTACGCCATCTGGGAACAACTGCTTGCTCGAGGACATTGACGTGATGGTGGAATGGGGTATGTCATGTTTGCTCCCCCAAGTTGCCTCCACTGATTGGTATAAGGTGCGACCGTGGACGAAAAGGTGCCAAGTGTCATTTCATATTCGCGCCCCAACTACGAATGGGGTGGTGCTTTGAGTGACGATTCCATCTCAATGGTTCATACTAAACTTGAGCTCGGTCTACAGAGTCGCCTGGGTGAACTAGACATGACGCTGCAGATCCTGGATGGAATGTCTAATCTCAATATCGACGAGATGTTGCGCACGATACGCAGTCACGACGATGTACCTGCCTACTCACACAAAAGCCCGGAAGAGATAGTCACCGACTATCTACAAAAGGTATTCCAACACCTAGAGATGGAAGTCGACCAGTTTGGCCCGATCGCAAGAAAGCATACAGCGACTGATCTTGTGGTCACTGTACCTACGGTAAGCAACACGAATTACGTCATATGGTAGAGCTGACTTTCGCGAGGACTGGTCCTATATGGCGATGAACTCAACCTATCGAGCATTGATGAAAGCGGGGTTTAACCGGATGAACTTTCCGAGATTACAGGACATCATGTTCATCACAGAACCGGAGGCTGCTGCAGTCTACACTGCGCGCCATTATCGAGACGAGTTGTCACAAACAACTTTGCAGGTATGTTGAATAATTGTGAAAAGACCACTGTTTATAGAAAGCTAAAGAATTGCAGGAGGGACAGTACTTCATACTGTGTGATGCCGGGGGCGGCACAGTGGTAAGAATTACATTGAAGTTGTTATACCTAAACCGGGTGGACTTATCGCTGTATTTAGGACGTGGTTTCATACCAGGTTAAGCGTTTGGAACCAGCGCTTGAGCTGGAGGCCATTGGAAGTCCGACTGGTAAGCTGAGTTCACGCCTAGCGAGTGTCATTAACCAGCCATAGGTGACAAATGCGGGTCGATCTTCATCAACATGAAGTTCAAAAAATGGCTTCGAGAAATACTCACGGATGCGCACTACAAAGAACTTGACCCCAATTTTGATATCGACAAAACTGCGACCCATGCCTCAGAAACCCCAGCTATGCGATCACTCATGAAAGACTTCGATTTGAAGAAGAAACATTTCACGGCCGGGTCGTCTGACTGCCAGATAGAGCTTCCATCTCCGTTGGAAAATCTGATCATCCAAGGTCGCGTGAATCAGGGTCTTCTCACGATCAAGAGGTGAGAGTACACGAAGATATCCTTTTTCGAGCAATATTGACAACCTTAGGCATGAGATGGAGTCATTCTTTGACGCATCGATTGAGCGAATCGTCATACTGATCAAGAAGCATATCAAGAGGATTCGAGAGCAGCGCCGTAACCGTCCAAAGGTGAGAAATCATGCTTTCCATCACAATACAACCCCTAACGTCACCAGAATTTGTTTCTGGTAGGAGGATACGGCGAATCGGAGTATCTTCAAGCTCAGATTCAGGAGATGATACTACACGAAAGACTGATCACGCAGTACTGGAGACCCCAAAAGTCTTGGACAGCAGTTGTTCGCGGTGCAGTGGTTTGTGGTATCGAGAAGAACTTGACCAGAAGTCTAAGGCGGGCGAACTCTTGCCGAAGCAGCTATGCAATATGCTTGGATGAAAGCTACACTTCAACTTATCATGGCAATCAAGAAGAGGTCATCAAACATGGCGGAGGCATTTTCGCTAAAGGGCAACTCACGTGGCTGCTGAACAAAGGCGACCTGGTTATGTCAAACGACCCCACGACTCGGTCCAAAACGGTTCACATGCAGCTCTCGAAACAGCGAAAGGACATGATGACTTTGAAGATTTGGCGATACATAAGCGATGAGAAACACCGCCCTACACGTCTCGAAGACGCCACTGACGGTAAGTGGTGACTCTAGCTAAACGATCTCGGAGCTAATGTGTGCCAGAACTGCAAAACGCGGGAGAACTTGGCATTGACCTGAGCGAAATCGAATTTGAACGTGTGAGGCAGAGGCTTGGGAAGCCCACATACTTCCAGGCTGATTTGGAGTTGGTACTGAACCTAGAGTGGGATAAACTATCGGCGACTTTGTGGTGGAAACAAAAAGAACTAACAAGTATACCAGTACTATACTAGCGAATGAACGTTGTCCCTCTGGAAAGGTGTATTTGAACTTTGACAAAGTGTGTGATGACTTTCGCAGTCACCACAAGTGATTCGGGCTATGCACTCTTTGGCGCCTACTCAGCCCACTCCTTGGTACAGTAGCGCCGCAGGAGCCATACAGAAGGCTGTTTCTGCTATGCAGATGCCCAGCCTGATGCCGATACGCGGAGCTGAAGAGCGAGAAGGGAACGAGGCAGACGCATGGCGTTCTTGGCAAGCGCCAACCCTATTTGCGAAGCACACCAGTACCAAGCATAGCCCGGTCGCTGTGTGGTGGCTTACTGTAGATTAAAGGAGCCTAGCTACCTAGGTTTTAAGCAGGTAGAGCCGCAGCCTCAAAACCATATCAAGAAGACGACAAGGTTCTCTCTTCGTGTCCATCCTTCAGGTCTCCTCATCTCACAATGACAGACCTCATCAATCTGTCAGCAAGATACGTCATCAAAACTGAACAGTTCGGGTCAGAAAACGCGCTCGCATCCACCCCAGACAATGACACCCTCGTTCTAGAGTCCATCTCAAGTGACACGACTCAGAGTCAGCTATGGTACTTCGAAGAGACCGAACTTGACGACTACTACCGCCTGCACACCGAAGACAAAGGCAACGGCAACTCTCTCAGCACGTATAATTACGAAGGAAGCCAGACAACAGATTTGCGTTTCCGCGCCAACGAAAACATAGATGCACAGTACTGGCGACTGGAAGTACAAGGCGACGGAAGTGTCAAAGTCAGCAATAGCCGCGCCGGCTCAGAGAGTTATCTCGATGTCGAAGATGGGAGCCTGAAGCCATTTCTCGCGCAAGGAGATTCGGGCAATGGGGAATGGACACTTAGCACTTTTGGCGCTGCTGCGGCTACACCCACTCCTACCGTCTCCACCTCCTCTGATGCTACGACCACACCGGCCGCAACGCCGTCTTGCACGTCAGAATGCACAGTAACTACGGATGTTGCTACCACCGATGGTTCAAAGTCTTCCGCGCTGAATAAGGGAGCAATAATAGGCATCGCGGTCGGTGGTGCAGCAGGGCTTTTGGCAATTATAGGAATTGCGGTTTGGCTGTGGAGGCGACGAAGGCGAGGACCGTCTCGTCCACGGAGTGTTCCCATGAGACAAGGCCACATACTTGGTTGAGGCTGACGAAAAGGAGAATTGGGTGTGATCATTTAGCGTACTTTGCGGTGCATAAGAGTCGTCCAGCTTGAGTATAATAGACCTTTGGTAGCATCTATGCATTTGATATCTATATCGGTAGAGCTCACATCTAGCCATGGCGTGATGCTGTTCATGTCTACCCTCGTCTCAAATTTCCCACCATGGTATAAAAAGAAGGATCATACAAGCTACGAAGCAAAAGAAGAAAAGCGCGGGCCCAAATCGTCCGCCGATAAAGCCGACCTCGCGTCCATGTCAGATAGAATACATAATCCGGTGGAAATCCCACCATGAACCGCAAGACAGCAGAACCTGTTGAAAGCGCAAATTATACCGTAGTCCCGCTAACCCAATGCTAGAAAAACGTGAAGAACGTGCAAAGAAAACATTGTACACAAATCGTGAATGGAATGAACGCAATTACAGCTGGTGTGCTGGTCTCATCCCAAGGTTTTCTAATCAATGGTAATGACGTCGTTTTTGGACTGCCCCGGACGACCTCCTGGACCGCCTCTACTTTGCTGTTGTTGCTGACGGCCGTTTGGCATCTGCTGTTGCGTGGGTCTGCCATTCGGAGGTTGGCTTCTCGGATGTTGCTGCATGTTCGGGTGCTGTTTCCCAGCTTGCGCCTGAGCCTGTCTTTGCTGCTGCTGGCGCGCTTGCTGCTGCTGTTGTTGCATCCTAGCCTGCTGCTGCTGGTTTCCCTGTTGGTTTCCGTTCGCCTGTGCAGGCGCCTGTCCTGGACCAGATCCCTGGTTCTGCGCTTGTTGCGGGGGCTTTTCAAGTGGTGGAGGTGCAACATAACCTCCTGCCATTTTACAACTCAAAACACACTCATCCAGCTTGAGTAGTGCTTCAGGGATCGCGTCCAAGTGCGCCACCATGCCGGTTCGGGTACCAAACCATCCTGAGCCCTTCCCACTGAAGAGTTCCTTCAGCTTGGCCTGTAAGTTGTCGAGACGCCTATGACCAGGTGCACGCTCGGGAGTTGGTAGATTTGTGGCTTGATTTGGAGGATCCTTTGGACGCAAGTTGTCTTCGATGAACCAGTACACCTGGTCATCTTTGGGCTGAAGGCGCACGTCGAAAGTGCAGACCGGATTGTCATAGGTGAGTCGGTATTTGAGGACGGAGTGAACATGAATTGCGGGGTTACTATAGTTGCCTGGAGATCGTTCCTCGACTTCGCGCAGGGCCTTGAAGAGGGGCCGGGTCGCGACGAGAGTCGTACAGAAGCGATCTAGGCCATCGACATCGCTGACCTCCGTGGTCGGGAAGGCAGGCAACCGATCGTTGGCGATCTCAGTAAGCAGATGGAGAATCCGATGGTGCGGATTGTCATGAGACAGCTCGATGGTAAGCTCCTTTTCAGCGCCAAAGTTGACAGTTGCAGAGTATGGCGATGGACCGTACTGGAACTGTACGCGCTGTAAGGAGGAGGACGAAAGCCGCATTTGACGCTTCTGAAGGGTACTGGCAAAGGTACGAAGACGGTTAACATCTCGCAATCGTGCTCGCAGCTCTCCTAGGATATCTTGCCCAAAGGGCGTGGCAAGAAGAATCCGGAAGTTGCCATCTTCTGAGAATTTGAAGGCGGTCTGTGGTGAAGCTGCCATGAGCTTATGCATGTCTGCAGCAACAGACTTGACCATTCTACCAACAGCCATGTGCCAGACGTCCTGACCCCCAACTTTCAAGCCTTCACATGTAATCTTGATGTCTGATTCAAGCCATGAGTCTTCGTCTGCTTGGGGCACAAGAAGGTCCGGAGTTTGCACATGCAGCACCCATCGACGGGGAACACAACCAGCTTCCACGAATGAGCCTGCTTGCCCTAACTCAGGTCGCAAACTGAAATTCTTCTTCTCCTTTTCTAGTTGGCGAGCTGTGACGCGGAACGACAGAAGCTGCACAGCGACCCTCTCCAGACTTGCCAAGGTGTTGCGGTTGATGGACAAGGAGCTTCCATCAGGTCTGTCCAACTTGATCTGCTCAGCGTATTCGAGGCTATTTCCACCAGATCCGATTTCAAAGATCCACCACGATTCGCCCGAAGAGTCGATTACCGCTGCCAATGCCCAGTTTGGTGTCCAGCCGCGAGGGCAATATAGCGTGGAAGAGATGACATCCAATTTGACAGCAGCCGACACTACCTGCTGTTTCAAAGCCTGTCTTGCGACCGATTGCCAGCCGAGTTGTTGTGCGTTCTTCTGAATCATACTGAGCAATGTGCCGGCTAGGACTTGCGTCATTACATGAGCAATCTGTGATGGCTCTCTGCCTTGGTTGAAAGCATTCTCCGCTCGCGCTGATAGTGCGCTAGCTGGTCGCAGGATGTAGTTACCAGTGACCGACTCTAGTGATAGGGTAACTGATGTAGATTTCGTACCCAGCGATGCGTTGAGTGTAGAGTCTGCAGGTTCGGTCTCGGAAAGATGTGCGTTCGCCGTCACTCCAGACTTGAAACTCTCCTTTGTGGATCGCAAGATATCACTCGTGTGGCGTGCGATGACTTGCTTGATAACGCGTTCCATGGAGAGATCCTTCCAGTCAAAATGGAACTTGACATCTTTCACTTCTTTGCCCTGGCGGAACCAGCGCGTTGTCAGCGACGGTATGGGAGGCCCTCTCCACGAAACCTTGCCGTTCTTTGGTTTGTTGTTCGATACGCCAATCTCAATCCAATTCTTTTTTCCAGGCTTATCAGTCCAATAAGACACGACGAGCAAGCGATGCACAGGCTCAACCTTGAGAGATCCAGCCCAGCCGCTTCGAACGAGATTAACAGCCTGCGATCGAAGCACTGAGATCTTGTGCGTTAGAACGAAGTTGTTCAGGAAGTCGAAAAGGCCGGTCAGACCCTTCTCCTTTAGAACTACGTCGGCCTGCAGCTTGAGTTGCATGAAGAAACGGCTACCGACGGTAATGGTAGGTGCAGGAGTGAACAACAACCGGAGATCGATGAGAAACCACTGTTCTGAAGCATCCTCTACAAAAGACATGACGTCAAATTCCAGCTCATTAGCAACAACAAAAGTTGCGCGTCCAGAGTGCACACGCCAGTCTTGGAGGTGTCGTGGGAGGCTTTCGTGTACGTTGAGGCGTATGGAGAGAGAGGTGTTCATGTACCGAAGGAGTTTGAGGGCCTGCTCAGCAGAGATAGGCTCAGGCGGTATGTAGCCCAGGCTCGGCATCCATGACGCTTTCCCTGTCGATAGCACTTCCAGGGCGGTCGCAACGTCCGGATTGTTTTCTCTGGCATTGTTGGACAGAATCTTAATCTTTTCCAGTTTGTAGTCGGCAGCATCCATATGCGCTGCCTGGGTACTCGCGTGGGCCAGCAAGTCAATGAGTTTTGATATGTCAACGGAAGCTTTCTTTCCCCACTCGGTGAGGACTAGCAGCTTGATGAATTTAGCCCGTTGCTCCTGCGCGAATTGAAGCACAACCAGCTTTTTACGCTTGTTCGCCTCTGCATTCACTTGTGCATTTGCCGCGCCAAGGCCATTGGGAAGAGCGCCGTTTGACACTGGCGCTATCTGAATGGCGGCCATGTTCTTCAGGACTTCCTCCAATTCATTGTAAGATTCCTGGGATATCCGTAACAGCAGTGTTGACAGGGACATGTACTGCTCGGGGCCGATATGAGCGATCTCCGGGGGCAGATCCGAGTATTGTTCGAGCGTGGGACCGGCCGTTGCTGCGACTGCCATGGATGCGCCGTTGGTGCTGGTTTCGCGCGAAGGACCCCCATTAACAGCAGGTCCCCCTGCCGGCGTGTCACTTCGCGCGCCATTGAGTCCGCCATTGGTCAGATCCCCGTTGTGGCTGCGCTTCCTGTTTTCTGCATCTCGTGAAGCCGTCGCTGAGTCGGGCCCGGTGTGGTTCATGGTGAGAATGCCTGGCATACTACGTTGTCCTCCGTCCCGCGGCCTGGGGCGCCGTCTGCGCACCCGTTTTGCGCGCGTCTATAGCTTTCTTGAAGTGTGTGGTCGCGCTTTTTCCTTGGTGTTTTCGCGAGAATGTCAACCGCGCGGTGTTTGAATCGTGATCGAGGCTGCGTGCAGAGGGCTGGCGGTGGAGTCGGCGGTGAAATGCGCAGGTTAGGAGTGAGGCGCGCTCATTAAAGCAGATGCTTTGGCGTAAGAATGGAAGCGCCGAGATAGCACGAGGCGCAGTGAGTGTTGAAAGGGCGCTGGTCGAATGCAGCAGGTGAAAGAAAGCGAGGTCGGGGCGCTGCCGACTAGCGCATCGTCGACTGTGAATGCTGCAAAACGTCGTGATGGCAGTCGCGGTCGTAGAGCGGTGGGAATTAGTCCGGAGTGGCCGTGGATGGGGTGCGCGCGACGTGGGCGGGTGGAGTGGTTGCAGCGATGAGGTCGTTGAAACATCAGCAGCCTCTCGTACCGACGACGGGAGGGAGGGCGCGGATTGGGTTTAGCGCCTTGGCTCTCGCTCCACCCATGCACGCTCATGATGGAGCCCTGCATCTCCGCCAGACACACTGAGGTCGCGTCAGCAACCGAGTCAAGGTTGAGGGCCCAGCTTGTCTATGATGTGCGTCAACGACACTGCATACCTCGTCGCGCGAATGCGATATACCTAGCCACTTTAATCGCTAGTACGTTCAGTCATTCACCGCATTGCTGTCCGCGGCTCGGCGAGCTTGCGGCTGCGGCGGCCAGTAGTCTATCTAGATGCGAGCTTGAGCGCAAGCGCCTTGTCCAATGTCTTTCTCGGATAAGCCTCTACTGCAAGTAGACGCTTTATCAGATGTTCACAGGTCATGCCCATGGGATCATCCGCTGCCACCCCAACAACTCCACATCTCTCCCCAGCTTGGGCCTGACCTCAGCGTGCCCACTAGAAGTTGCCCTCCGACCTGAATAGCAGCCCGGTCAGCTGTCGCATTTATCCCTCGATCCTTCATCATGTCTCAGTTGCGGTGACGCATTTCCGTTGATTAGCGCAGGACCCTG